GTCCATAAAATGGGGACATCATCCCACCATCTTCCTCCTTATCTCATGAGGATGTTCATACAACTACAGATCTGGACTTGGAAAGGACCTCATAGGCTCTCTAATCCCACCCACTCATTCTCTTTTAAATAATTGAGGCACAGTGAGGATAAGTCCTTGAGGACAAACAGGTAGTATGTGCAACAGGTCAAATTTGAACTTGGATCCTCTGACCTCAGGAAGGTAACCACCTTCACAACTATGACTAGATCAATGTCCAACCTTCCATATGGCATGGAAAAACCTGCCTCTCTTCACTGTTCTTTTTTCCTCAAGTATAGGTTGGATATAGGGGGAAAGCTTCCTAATAATTAGAACTGTCCAAAAATAAAGTTGGCTTCCTTGGGAAAGAACAGGTTTCCCTTCCACGGAGATCATTAAGCAAAGACTGGATGACCGCTTGTTAAGGAAGTTAAAGAAGGAATTTCTATTTACATAGATCATAGATTTAGACCTGGAAGTGACCTGAAAGGCCATCAACTCCAATCCCCTCATAATAGATAAGGAAACTGAGGCACACAGCAAGTATGTGCCCAAGACAAGATTTGAACCCAGGTATTCTTGACTCCGAGTCTGGTGCTCTATCCAAGCATATTTATGCTCTATCCACCATCAACTTATGCTGCCTCTATTCAGGTTGGAGCAGATACCCTCAGAGGTTCCTTTAAATTCTGAGATTTCATCAAATTTCACAAAATTCTGTGATGTTATGACTCACCCAGAGTCATAGAATAAGTTTCTGGGTGAGTCAGGAGTTGAATGATAATTTTTGCACTTCGGATTCTGTTTTCTCTCCATAAGAGTGCAATGCTCAAAGTCACCCCTCCCCCTTTCCTTGCCCTCCAAGAAACCCCCATCCCCAGAGGAAATATAGACAAACAATCCACTCATTGTTGAGCCTACTTGCCTTGACTTCAGCTCCTCCATCAGAAGTGGGGGCCGAGCCAGGCTGGTGTTCGGGAGTGATAGGCACATGGAAATGGCAGTGGAGGGAACCAGAGCAATTCACCCCGCTCTTCCCACCCTCCCCTAAACACACACGCAAACACATAAGCAAAGGCATCAGCCACTAGCAGAGGGTTGCACTACCGCTAAGTCATGCAGAAGGCAGGGGCCACAAGGATGGGGGAGTGGGAATAAGGCTGCTGGAAAAAGCCACTCACTGCCTGCCATGGAACTAAGGAACCTGGCGAGAACAGTGTGGAAGGGTGCGGATTTGAGCATGGCCACTCTAAATCTAGCAATGGCGCTCCCTGTCACAAAGCATTAGTAACTTGTATACTTGTTTCTGAACAAGCAATAAGACAGGAGAATGTTTTAGTAAAGAATACTGAGTTTCAGTAACTTTCTTCTCATGTTCTAAGTCAGAAAGTGGTAATCTGTGGACCAAATGCGGCTTACTTAACCAGGGCCAATAGCCTGTGGTGTTCAGACTAGCACCGAGGTGGTATGGAGTCAATCTGTAGTCATGCTGGTGGAGCCTCTGGCTCAAGGCCTAGCCATGTCCTTATCCCTGTCCCCAGAACTTCTGGTTGTACTAGAAGCAGGAAGCTGTGGCAGCCAGGGAATGCTCATGCTGGGTCACAAGAGTGGGCAGAAGGATTTAGAGAAAGTGTTCTTTATTTACATTGAGATCCAACCGAGAAATGACTATAAGAAGTGAGTGAACACATCCTTAACCCACAAACATGGCCCCAGGCCAATACAGGATGGACCTGGGAGGTCTTGGATCAAATTAGACTCCCAGGCCTATACTCTGGAGCAGGGTTAGGGAGACAAAAATCCCCACTAAGCTCCCTTTTCTCCTCCCTCTCTACTCTGTTCTTTCCTCACTCCTAGGCCAGAACCAGACAGGTATATATGGGCATTATGGTATATAAGGCAGTATGTGTGACTGACTGCTCTTAAGATCTGTGTTTACCATATCTTGTCCTAAATCCCAAGATCCCACAGGACTGGTCTGTCTATGAGATACAGGGAGGGTGATGGAGCTCCAGTGATAAAAAGGAGAAAGAGCTCCATTTTAAAATGTTGAGGTCAGAGTTTCGGCCTTTAGAAAATTGGGGAAAGTTAATACCTTAATTAACTGAGATAGAAACCTTGAAATCTGATGGAGAACGAATACACCTAAAAAACTAACCCGATGTGAATGCCTAGCGCTGAAAACTGAAATCAGTTCCACTCACGAAGATATCCCAAACACACTGGATTTGAGGTGTCTTGAATTAATAACTAAATAATTCTCTCCCTCTTCTCTCTCCTCTCTCTTTCCCTCTCTCTGGGTGGCAGTTGGCCAAGATAGGAACACTCTAACAAATAGAAAGTTTTCACTCAATTATTTCAAGTAGGAAATGAAAGCAAATGAGATACAAGTAAAGCACTTTGCATGCCTTGAAGTGCTATGTAAATTAAATGCTAGGTCTTTAATGGGAAGCCTGCTTAGCCCTAGGTCTACAGGGCCTGTGAGCTGACAGTGACTCACTCCTTGGGCACAAAGACTGCTATGCCATCCTTAGGCAGAAAACAAAGAATAAACCCAAGGTATTCTTGCCTCCCGGGGAACGTCTGCACAGAAATAGGAGCAGGGGACACCTGATATCTTTTGGGCGTTCATTCCGGTCCTCCACTGGAGATTCCAATAGTGCCTCACCAGGATCTGTGCTCATCTGAAAGGGCATCTCAAGAGATCAAGCTAAGCAAACCCAACCCTGAGGAGGGAGGGAGATCTCTGGAGAAATCTGGAGCTGGGAGAGATCAAGAGGGGCAAGTCAACCATTACATCTATTGTCTTCCTTGGAGGCAGGTACTAAGATTGAGAAGTTTAACATCTGACTAGGACCTTATGAGGCTTTCATTGATGCAACCAGATCCATGCAATGAAAACCAAGCATCCAGCCATTCCCAGGGATCTGATCCTGACTGCTGGTGCTCATGACAAGCTACAAGTTGTGCTGTCTTGGCTAGTTGAGCACCCTGGGAATATTTCTCTCATTTTGGCTGAGAATCTGTAGATCAATTCTCTTTGGCATTTAGTGGTGAATTCAAATTCAAAAGCTTCTCCCATGATATTCACCATGAATATTCATCAGGTCCTTTCTTAGATAAATAATAATTACTTGGCAATTGACATGCTGAAAAGGAAAAAGAATTCTCTTGGGGAGAATTGATTCACATTCAATGGGAAACTTTAAAATGCAGCAAGAGTGGCCTAACAGACCACACCCTGGAGGGGCTTTTAGTCTTTGTCCATAAGAGGAAGATGAGGCTCCAAAGGTTAAAACACTAGGGGTGGGCAACTAACACATCTATTTGACCAAGGATTTATTTTTTTCAAATCCAGGAGTTCATTAATGAAATTCTCTCTCTGGTACTAGGAACACGTTAAACCCTCTCCTCTTGCCCCAAAGGTCCACTACAGCAGTGCAACCCCAGGCCCCAACCCCACTGAAAGTTTGTGGCATCAGCTGAGGGGCAGTGCCAATGGGACTATTATAACAAGGCTTTCCAGGAACCCAGACAGCATCTAAGAGAAACCTAAATCATAATGAGATCTATGCTATGACCAGTGGTGTTATAACCATGGTCCCAGGTCATCTCAATACTAGATACAGGATATATGGAACTGGGTCAGACAGTATTACTCTCAAAGAAACATCCTACACCCAATGCTAGGGAGGAAAAAATTGCAAATAGTTTCAACAATAGCTTCCAAAAGTTCTTTCCCTTCTCCCCAGCTGGGAGGAAAGAAGGACTGAGAATGTCTATCCCATAATAATAACAAAAATTCACTTTTTAATATCACTTCAAAACTGACATATTCTTTGATTTTACAAAGAGCCCTAACAGCAGCCCACCAATAGTGCCAAGCATGGCCTACTTTGTCCTCTCCCTTTCCCTAGGTATCAGCCTTCCTTCTCAACCTGGGCTGACTCTAAGATGAATTTTTATTTTAAGATACAGATCTTTAGAAGGGAACTAAATTTTAAATTCCACTTCCAATAGTTGCTGACATGAAGGTTTGTATTATTTTTCTGACCACTTGTGGCAATAGCTGAGGCTCTGATCATTCACTTGGATTGGGAGCAAGGCCTCCAGGATACAAAATGAAAGAATTTACTGCCAAACAGAAGCAAGTCACCTTCCTTCCTGCCTTCCCAAACAGGTAACAGCGGACAAACTCTTAGAGTCTGGAGGAAATTTTGTTACTGAAGATTCTACTTTTTTTCCCTGCTTTTATCATGAGTCAAAAAATGTAAACAAATCATATGATGATGGTTCCTAGAGGACAAATCCCATCACAATGGAGACAAGGTAGTACAGATTCTTTGGTTCTATCAAATGCTACTTGAAATAAGTACGTCATTGATTGGATCCTGGAAATCTTTTTATGAGATAAAATTTAGTGCCACCATATTGATTGTATGTTTGACTTGTGTTCACATTTCCCTTAAGGTGTAGCTCCTGGAAGGGTAGGGATAGGTTCCAACATTCCTGCCTTTCCTGACTCCTCATCTACTTCTTCCCACCTTATAAGACACATTAATAAAGTATGGTAGGCAAGGAAGGGAGGAGCTGCATGCCCCCTCTTCCCTGGTTAGCTTGAATAACATTAACTAACCATCTCACATCAAGCCAAGTCAGCCAAGACCAGCTCAGAGCAGGGAGTAGATGGCAAATCAAAAATGTTTCTCCTTGTTTCAACCCCACCCCCCCTCCCCGTTATCCCCGTCCCCAAAGCGATGAATGATGGAATGAGCAAACCCTCGTGGGTCCCGTAGTATTGAAGCTGCCCCCAGAGCCCCCCCAAGGAAGGCTAATCAAGCCCATGAGAGCGAAGCCTGTGAGGTAGGGAGCAGGCTGAGGAGAACCTGGGCCACGGCCACTTGGGTCTGTTGCTGCTGCTGCTGTAGGAGCTGTTGGAGGAGCTGCATCTGGTGGTGGGTGGACAGCGGGGTGCCGATGCTAGGCATCTGTGAGGAAGAAGGAAGCAGCATCTTGGGTGAGGCAGTCAGAATGTTCTCCTGGTGATGGAGTGAGGCCTGGAAGAGAATCAACAGGCAACACAGTGAGGAAGAATCACAGGGACAATCTATGGTCCTCAGGGCCTAGTCATGGCCTAGGGTGACAGTGGGAAATTGAAGGTGATACCAACAAAGGGCACGTTTTAGCAAGTTCTACCAGGCCAAAAGGGCTTTGAATAGATCCTAGTGACAGACCAAGTCTGTTTCCTAAGGACCTGTCTAAGTATAGTGTAATCAGCTGCCTTCTCACCCTGGAACTTCTTTCAATACCTAGTGTTTTCTAGTCCTGGAACATTCCTTTGTCTCTTGGGCTCCCTTCTCCCATTAGCGAGTTAGTCAATCAGTCAGTCAATAAACATTTATTAAGGGTCTACTAAGTGCCAGACATTGTGCTAAGCACTGGGGGTATGAATAGATAAAAATAAAGACAGTCCCCGCTCTCAAGTAACTTAGAATCTCATCTCCTGGAGCCTCCATTTTGTGGGTAGACTTAGTCCAGCAATCCTTTCTTCCCTGTCTCCCAGTCTGCTTCTGGTTTTCTGGACTTTGTTACCATGCCCCTACATGGTCACCTCCCCTACCCCACACATATACTTTTCAGCTCCTTTTTTGTGTTAGCTTCCTCCATTAGGATGTAAGCTCCATGAGGGTAGGGACTGTCTTTCTTTTTGCATATGTTTGTAATCCCAGCATATAGTAGATGCTCAATAAATTCTCATTACCTTGCTTTAGAGAGAAGCTGAGTTTCAATAGGAAGGCCCAGGAGAATTTTTAGCCATTGCAACCCACAAAAAAAGAAAAATACAAAACAACCCTTGGTCCTATGTGATCCCACTTTTGCTACTATGGTGATGGTAGTAGAGTGTCAGAAAAGGAGACAGAGGGTAATAGAATCGCACAGCTTTTGGAATGTCTATAAATATTAACTTAGCTGCTGGTGCTCTAAATGTGATATCATTGTCCAGTGAGGCAATATACAACTGGAGGAATTGAATCACATTAATTGAAGTTCTCATTATAAATCAAACCAGAAAAAATAGGAGGTTATAGCTATGAGAAGATGGTTCACAGGCTCTCTTTGGAGAGGCAGATAAAAGCGTAGCTTTCATTGTTCATCCGAAGGTAATAAGGAACATCATTTCATGGGATAGTTATTTTGCCTTGCTGTGTTTGCGATAAGGATAAGTGTAAAGGACTTCTATGAAGAAAGCTACAGTTTTCCAATTCTGTTTCAGAGCAGGAGAAAATTCTACAAAGAACATGAGAAGATGCTCCAAATCAAATCAACATTTACCTGATGACTACAATGCAAAGGGGCTAAAGGGGGATGATGGCAAAAAAAAGAGAAAAATGTTAGAAAATATGGATCAGAATCAAGAAATGAAAGAAGTCACAAAAACTTCATGCCTATAAATCTTGAATACTTTATCCAAGAAGAGAATCTGAATGGACAGGATGTGTGGCAAGGTCAAATAACATCAGAGAAAATAATAATAGCTATATTTTGATAGGCAGAAAATGATCAGTACGGGAGTTATTTCTGAATCAATTGCCTGTGTATAGTATAATCATCAACTTGTTAGGATAAAGTTCAACATCAGTACCAAATTTTATGTATAAAGATTAGAAGATATGGCACATAACTTAAAAAGAAAACTTCAACTTGGCATAGTTAAAAAACTTATTGTTGAAAAAAAATTGAAAAAAGGAAATAAATAAAGGAACAGACATCATAGGATCCCAGATGTACAGCTAGAAGAGACCTTGAAGGTTTCTCATTTTACAAATGAGGAACCTGAGGCTTAG